AAAGAAAAAGAAAAAGTGAGGGGGAGAATGTTAATGTACAGAAAGGAAGCTGTGATGTTTCTATTATCTTCAACAAATAGTGCACACACACACACACACACACACAAGATATATCCAAGTGAAAGAGAAATTTAGTGGGCATCATAGTAGTTCAGCATAACTCCTCTATAGCTATGGAAACTTTTCTCAAGGACATATCCTACTGTCCTCAGATAAAGCAACAATTTGCACTGCCACCTTTGAACCTTTGCTCATGCATGTTTCACTTAGCAGAAATACTAAAGCACTTCATTTTTGGTAAACACACACACATACACACACACACAACTTCACTACAGAGCGCAGAGAACTGATTTCAAAAAAGGTCTATTTTTATAAGTACATAAATACAAAAAATAATAAGCTAGTATATACGTCTCTGAGAGCATGATTTAAATGACCGTTGCTTAATCCTAAGTTTTCTTAACAAGGAAAAAAAGACTTGAATACCAAACATTTATTTAAGTGCACTTGATATTTTTTATAAAATATAGAAGTTGAATATCAAGGAAAGATACGTCCCTTTTTTGCATTTTATTTCCTTTAAGCGGTGGAAAAACAAAAAACAAAAAAACCCTTGATATTCAACATCCAAGCTTCATTTTCAGCAAGAATCAGATAATTGTCAAAGACAAACTGTTTTTCATCATACAAATGACTTGATCACAGATAATAAAATTGTGCAAACCTCAAAGCCTAAATAACCATGTAAATGGGTTCTATGTTTTTTTGAGACAGATGGTAGATCACAACAGTGATGGGTTATGAATTCCAAAAAGATTGTCCTCCAGAATATAACAAAAAATGACTGAAGAGGTAGATTTAAAACATAGTTAAAGTGGAACCAAAATAGAAAACTCACATCAGTTTTAAAGAGGTCACGAAGACAGAGAACATAAAGATTGTATTAAAACCAATCTGCGAAGAAAACCATTTTGAGTTGAAACATTATGCATATGTTAGATGAAGGAAATTGGAATGTGTTTCAACAGGATGAGTAATGCTATCTGCTTTATTCCATATCATGTCCAAGATTGTAGAAAATTGCAGCCTACTATGTCTATCAACGACTTTATCATTTGCCACTGGCCCAGAGGTATGCTCACCAACCTCAGTCACCAATCATGGTCATATCCAGACCTTAGCTACATAATATGAGTGAATCGGGAATTAAGGTCTAATTAATGCACTCTTGCATTTAAGTAGGACTCAGAAGAACCCAGATTAGAGTATAAACTACTCTATCTAGGTAAGGATTAGCAGTCATTGTTTGTCAAAAGGCCAATAATCAATGAACTCCAGGAAGTGTGGGCAAATATGATGTAGCAAAAAAACCCAGAAGTGCTAATTTCAACACTGACTCCCTTAATATGTGTTCTCAGGTCATTTAGCTATATTATTCTATACGTATACACACAGACACACACACAGACACACACAGACACACACACACACATCACCTGCTCCTACTTACATCCCCAGCCTCACCTCCCACAAATCTTTTTCCCTTTCTCAGCACTCCAGGTCAGCCAGCCTTCTCTCAGGATGTATCATGTTCCTTCCTGACTCAGAGCCTTCACACCTGCTCTTCCTCTGCCTAGGCCCTCCTCCCTGTCAACCAGGGCAACTCCTATTCAAGCTTTAAGTCTCTGCCATTTCCCCTACTATAGCTTCACAGAAACTTGCAGGTTTCATTCAATATATTTAACCCAGTTGTGGTTAATTATAATGTCTGGTCTTGGGTAAATGACAAACTCCAAGAGAAGAGGATTTTCTCTCTCTTCTTTCTCTCTCTCTCTCTTTTTGCATAAACTGTATTCCTAGTGCCTATTATGGCAACTGGACCATAGGAATACTTTAGTAAATATTAGTTGAATGAAAGGATGAATGAAGGATTCTCTTGGTGAATTAAGTATTATTTGAACACTTCACACACATGCTGCTGCTGCATGTACAGAGACCAATGCCTTGGGGTCCAAAAGGAAAACCTCTTGACGTATAATTGCTTGGCTTTATTTGTCTTGGGGATCCAGATGAAAACTTCGAGTCTTTCCCTTTGGATATTCTGGTGACCAGGAAAATTAACAGATGCCTGGAATTTAGGAGTAAATGGAAACTAGAAGATGTCTCTGACCTAGTCTTGGAGAGGGAAGTGACTAGCCCCATTTATATTTAGTGGTGTGCAATGGAGGCCTCATGGACCAGGAAGGGAGAGATCGCCGCAACACACAGACTATAAATGGCAAGTGATAGAGGGTGTTGATGAGACCTGGGGTGATTTCATAGAAACCTGGAGCATATTATAATCGACTTCAATATAAAGTTTGTTTTAACCTAATGCAACGTGGTCATAGTATTTATGAGAGAAGAGCCTCTGATCTTGGGAGCAGGATGATTTTAAGAAAGGCCATCAAGTTGTGTCTGTACCAGAAGGTCTAAGTTACACCCAGAGCTCTAAGAGGAAAAGTGCTACTATTGTCAAGGGACACTGATGATTCACTGTGTTGTGCATTATGAAAGACTAGTTCACTGAACTCTGACCTCTTGTAGACAGACCTTGCAGACAGTGCTGCTCAAAAGTGTATTTCTGAGTTGGCATACTATGAACATTCATGCATGCTTTCGTTCTGTTCCACAGCCCACCAATAAGTTTGGGAAATAGTAACAATGTGAATAGCACATTGTTGAGAAGTCTTGCTCTGAAGAAGTCTTCAACTCATTTGCCTATAAAAACATTTTTCAGAAAATATTAATGTGTCAACCAGGATAGTCTTAGATTTATTGACCAAACTCTAACCCTCAGTGGCTTAAAATAACAATGTTTCTCTCTCGTGTTACATATACATTGTTAGTTGACTGGAGCTCCTGCTCCATAAGGTCTTCACTCTGTATTCAAGGTGTCAGAGCAGTCACCATTTAAGCATTTCTGGTTGCTTTATCAGAGAGTTGAGTGTGGAGGAGAGACTGTTCCATTATGTGACCACTGTGTGCTGGACCCAGGCCAGAATGGAGCTTGCTTTCCACATACCTCCCTTTAGAGATGGTCTAATTGTAACTGATGTTCATTTTGACATAAATTAGCACTTCTCCCTTGCCTCCTGCAATGTGCTGGTTCCTGCAACAGGTTGTCGTTCTGACAGTCAAGCATATAATTTCCATACCTAGTAGCATTCATCTTCTAGTACCCGTGACTATTTTTCCCCTGTATACTATATAATTCTTGGTGCCTGCCACACAATGCAAGGATCCATTTGGTCTTGCAGCTGCCCAAGACATGCCTCATATGTTTCCCTTAATAAACTCTGTTACCAGACTGGAGTGGCAAGCCTCTTTGTTTGATCTTTCCCTGCCCTCAGCTTACAGAGGTAGATTTTCAGTCTTGGAGCTTTCTCCTGGGTCTGTGTGTGCAAACAATGAGCTCTAGAGGTTTTCACAGTGAAATGTGCTAGATTGAAAGTCACACTTGAAATTTTGGCTCATAACCCAACCATGAGGGCTGAGGAGGTATTATCCTACCATGTGCCTAGAAAGTAGACAGCCGGAAATATTCAGTGAGCAGTACTGACAACTAAACCTCCTTAACCTGACTGAACACTGAGGGTCACTGAAGTAAAGTTGGAAACTACTGCTGTTCATGGCTTTAAAAATATTGATAATAATTACTATTCAAGAATGTTTACCACTTATGCTAAAGTTGCATGACCATACTTAATCAAGAATAAGAAATGGAAGGCTGATGTTTTTCACATTTATCTGGGGAAAAAGAGTATCACAAAAAATTCTTTTGGAATATTTTATGAAAACAATTTTTTTCCTTTAAAGTCTCTAGTGGATTTCCCACAACAGAAAAAAAAATCATTTTCCAGCCAAGTTTTCACTGCTTCTCTCAAATACAAATACTATATAACAGAAAGCATGGATAATTCCACAACACAGCCAATTTCTAGGCGACTTGAGTGAGGTATATCATAAATGCCCATTTGCAGTGTCTTCTTAACGGATGTGCAGAGGTAATGCAATCATCGGATAAATCCCACAATAATAGCAATGAAATTGGCATAGAATTCATTTAAACAAAAAATTAAGTATATTTTGTGCTTCTATAACCTTTGAAAATTAATTTCTGATGAAGTCTACCTAATCAAATGATCTAATGCTTTGGTATCTTGTTTCCTAGTTGGCCATAACTATATTACATAATAATACAAAAAGTCAGTGATGTTCAGAAATAAGTACCTTAGTTTTGAGATATTATCTGCATACCGAATACAATGAAGGCACTTGGTGGTTATTCAAAAGCCCTTAATTAACTGTTTCTGTGAGAAACACAGGGCATTTTAAAAAGTCATGTCATTTACTCAGCCATCTCCAAGTTTTTCCTTGGTTCTTCTTTACATATGTCCTATGTACAGTCATTAAATTACCTAATATATGTAAAATGGTTCAAGCAATGCTTTGCACATAGTAGTCACTAAGTGATTATATTATTGTTGTTATTATTTTATGCCTTACAAGTGATGCTTTGTATGTCTCATACCCTGCAGGGATTCTAAACTATGATTGGCTTTAACAAGTTCAATCTGGTGCTCCCAGCAGGGAGAAAGTCTAATATGCAAGGCATCTTCTATATTACATTTTTCTTGTTTGGAACAGAACAGGGAAATCACCTTAGAAGTGATCAAAGTGATCTAAAATGTGTTTAGAAGATTTTGTGTGTACCTCTAGATAAATGTTACTAAGTAATTACCTGAAATGGTAAATGTTGAGAATAAATTTAAAAAATTTTTATAACTATACCACAAAGATGCACTGATTATAACAGCCCCTTCTCATACTGTTACCTTCAGACTGTGGTAAATCACTTGCAATATTATTAAAGTATTTCACTATATATTTTATTTTTATAATAATGAATCTGATATGCTCTAATCTCCTTTGATTTGTTATATATTGCCCATACATCATTCATTCCATTCACTTAAAGCATCATCTTCATGTCCAGGTATTTCTGCTGGTGATTGGTCAAGAGAAGTTGAATCTTTGTATCTCATTGAACTCAGCTCAGAATGTATCTCAGTCGTTGAGGTTTTTGACCCCCAGAAAGCCTTGACTGCCGCCCTTGGAGGAAAAAACAAAAACAAAAAATCTCTTATGAAATGAAAATTAAAAATAAATAATTTATGTTAATTTTCTCTATCTAGAAGTGTTTCCTTAGTCACAATTTATTTTTAGTTTGTGCTGCATCTGTTGCATTGTGATAGTAGATGAGCCCTCAGACATATCTGGGTATTAATACTCTTGTAGGTATTAGAAATATTCTCGTATAAATGCATCGGTCAGTTGCAATAACCAGATTTTAGAGTTGTGATAATTACAACTGAACAACACAAGTATTTATTCAATAAAATTTTTCTTTAGCGACTACCTTATAAAATTGCAAAAACTGCATTTAAAAGCTCTCTCATGGCTGAGTAAACAGGTCATGAGATTAGGTAGCATGAATTAGGGCAGTCTCAGGAAAAATGAAGGGAATTGGATAGCTTGAAGACACATGTGATAGGCATCATGGACAGGGCTTTTGATTCATGGGACAAAGGAGTAGACAGAAAGATATCAATCAAGGGTGAGACTCAGTTTCAGTCCTGTATTTACCAATTTATAATTATGAAGATGAGTACAAAGATCACAAATATACAGAGAACAACTCCTATGGTCAGCACAAAAACAAGCACTGCATCAGTGTCTGGTGGTCTTGATCTTTTCATCTGTAATTCTAGAGGAAAAAAAAAAATACCCGATGATTATTACCACTGGTGGGGGGCGGGAGGAGGGGAGAAATGGATATCTAAATGGAAACTTTATATCTGAAAAACAATTCTAGAAATATACAGAAAGAATTAGTGGAAAGTTATTAACTTGTTCTGTACCTTTAAAATGTCCTTTTCAAACACACAGAAAGTTAAAAGAATTTGACAATGAACATCCTATATTCCCACCACTTAAATACTACCATTCGCATTATACTATCCATCTAGCCTTCTAACAATCTATTGATCCATCTTATATTTTTTATGCATTTCAACATAATTTGCTGATGTCTGCATATTTTCTGCAAAATTCTTCAATAGGCATATCATTAACCAGAGTTCAATATTTGTTTATATATTTTCTGAGGTAAAATTTCAGACAAATCACATAAAGATCTCAAATGTACATTTGTTTAGTTTTGGCACACATATGTAATTTAAATCCTTATCAAGCCATAGAATATTACTATACCCCAAAAAGTTCCATTAAGCCCCTCCCAGGTAATCTCTGCCCCATCCTCCAGAGTTATTGTATTGATTTTCTTTTCCATCATAGATTAGTTCTGCCTGTTCTAGAACTTCATAGGAATGGAAACGTATACTCTGAATTTTTTTTTTTTTTACTCAGTATAATGTTTTAGAGATTCACCCATGTTAGCACATGTGTCACTGGTTTTTTTCTTTTCTATTAATTTATTCATTCTCCTATTGATAGACATTTAGGCTGTTCCAGTTTGGTGTTATGATAAATAAAATGCTGTGAACATTTTTGTAGAAGTCATTTTGTGAACACACATTTTCATTTCTCTTGGATAAATACATAAGAGTGGAACTGCTGGGTCATAGGATAAAGGTATACTTAGTTTTCCAAGAAACAGCAAGATCTTTTCCTAAACTGATCGTACTGATTATATATATTTTATAATTTTTTTCTCCCAGATTTTGGTTTGCTGATTTTTTTTTAATGATTTCTTTTAATGTGCTTTTAATTTTGAAGAAGCCTGATTTATATTTCCTTTCATGATGATTGTTTTCTGAATCATCTATAAGAAACCCTTGCCTACTCCTGAATCATGCAGATAATTCTCCCTTGTTTCCTTTTTAAAGCTTTATGGATTTAGTGCTTATATTTAGGACTATGATACATCTCTAATTTTTGTATATATTTGTTAAGGAAGGCAGTTGAAGCTCATTCTTTTTCATATAAACATCCACATACCAGTTATAAATCAGGTATTCTCTCTCACATCTTTCTGATCTTCCTGCAAATAAGGCTATTAAAGAGAAAAAGCCAGCCTACAGTATAACATTGCTATATTGTAAATTGGTGAAAAGCCCATTTACATCAAGCAATACTTACTTTGTGAATTATATAGCTTTCTTGTGGCTCTTCTTGCTTCCTAAGTCATACAATCATAAAAGATTTATGTAGAGAAGGACCAGAGATACAACTGAATCATACTGATAAGCAAAACGTCCAAGGAGGTTTAATGATTTCTGCAAGCTGTTTTAGATATTTTAATATCTTAACTTTGATAAGTACCACTCTTATCAGAAGTAGTCTGCTACATGGGCAATCTCAATTGTTTATTTGCCTGAATTTTTCTTTCTACTCTTTAAACACCATTAAATTTAATTTTCCATTTTCTTAAGTAATTTTAGAGACATAAACTCAATTTAGTGATCTCACTAAATAGTTCCAAGTACAACAGAGAAATTACATCATATTTCTATTCCAACATTGTTGGATGTTTTAAATCTTTATTTTTGATAATTTCAGGTTTATAGAAAGGTAAGATTTTTAAGGCCAAAGAAAAAACACCTTTTAGAATTAAAACCTGAGAAGAAATGCAAAACTCCTTTCCATTTATTTACTATCCTGATACTAGCCAAGAGAGGGTAGAGAATGAGGGATATGAAGATTTTAGTTCAAGTAGTGTAGTCTTCCTGCAAGAGTCACTTAGGTTACTTTTATATTGTGGAGAAAAAAAAAAAAAAAGGAGCTTTTATGGAAAGTAACCTCACAGGGTGATCTGATTATAAATTCCTAACTGGGTAGGTTATAGTGGGCCTATAACTTTTTAATGAAAGGTTCATCTTTACCTTAAGTAAGTCCTGTCCATTGTTTCTGTTATCTTTGTTAATACATCTTTGAAATAAACCAAAATCATCACCAAGAGAGGACATATTCTTAACTATCCTATAATCCTATCCCCTGTTGCTTCCTTCCACCAAATGTAATCTTCCTTATGATTCTTCATTAATCTTAAATGCATAAAAGAAATTATAAACTGTTACTTTCTGTAGCATTTATCTCAATCTGTTGAGATCTTACTTCCAGGTATATCTTCTTTTTGGCTCAAATAAATTTTTATAAACATTCTCTATGGGTTTGAACATTTCTTATGTCAACAATAACTAATAACAAAAAGGAATGCATTTCCTATTGAAATTTATTAATGAAAAATAGGCTAAATTTCGATGCTCTCACTTTTTAGTAGAACAAAGTTTATGTCTGTATTGGTTTCCTAGGGCTACCATAATAAAGTACCACAAACTGGTTGACTTAAAAACAACAGAAATTTATTGTCCACAGTTTTGGAGGTTAAAATTCTGAATGCAAGGTATTGGTAAGGCCATGCTCCCTTCAAAGACTCTGGGGGAGGATCTTTCCTTTCCTCTTCTAACTTCCAGTAGCCCCAGATGTTCCTTGGCTGTGGCAGCAGAACTCCAATCTCTGACACCTTTTGCACATGGTTCTCCCTGTGTGTCTCTGTGTCTTCACGCGGCATTCTCCTCTGTCTCTTTCTGAGACTCTGTCCAAATTTCCTCTTCTTATAAAGACACCAGTCATATTAGATGAAAGGCCCACTCTACTATATATGAATTTATCTTAACTGAACTAATTACCTCTGCAACAACCCTACTCCAAATATGGTCACATTCTGGGGTTCTGGAAGTTAGGACCTGAAAATATCTTTAGTGGGACACAATTCAATCCAAAACAATGCCTAATTATGAATGGGAAAATTTCATTAACTAAACCATTATTTATCCTAAAAATATTTCATTTGTGTATTTGTTTCAAGCCAGTACCATATTGGGTGCACGATTATAGCAAACACACTCGTTTGATGTCTAAACAACCAAAAGGGGCTGTCACAGTGGTATACCAAACTGTTATTTTAAATACCAAAGTGTTCTGAAAACATTTTATCATTTAATCAGTGCATGTACTGAGATGAGATGGCAGAGCTACTCCACCAGCCCTAGACTGCTACAAGAGAGAAGTCAACTTTGTCTCACTTAATGGCTGACATTTTGGGGTCTACGTTCCAGCCCTTAGCTTATATACTATCAAATACATGTTGCCTTACAATCATGGGAGGAACTAGCCACTGAGATGTCTTAACAAGGACCAGGCTATGGGGACAAAATCCGAGAATGGCCCCTGAAATCTTTAATATCCGAAAGTAGGACTCATTGAGATATTTTTTAGTTTGATGATGTTTGGTCCTTTTTTGCCTTTTATTGAAATTATCTTTTTAATAACACCTGATATCCCAATATAGGAGTAAGATTATTAGCTTTCACTATAAAGATCTTTTTTAAAAACACTAGACAACACATTAAAGAAAGTTATAGTTTATTTTTTAAAACCACCCCCAAAATAGTTTAGCTTGTTTTCATTTCAATAATATTATGTTGTATGGCATCTCTAGACTACAGCATAAATTCTTCATTTGGGATTAAGAAATAGCTTCAAGAAATCCATGAACTTCCTTAAAATTACAGGTAATTTTTGGCATGTTTCTATATGTGGGCATTTTTCTGGGAAAAGCCTCCTGAGCCTTGATTGGATTCTAAAAAACCCTGTGAGCAAACCCCCACACCCCCATCAACAAAAATGACAACAATAAAAATGAACAAAAGGAACAAGTGAACAAAAGGAAATATTTGGATATAGAAGACATCATAATTTAAAATGAAAGGACATGCACATGGATCCATTTTGCAAGGGAAGTAGTTCTAACACGTGAGATTATGTTCAAGACAAGATTTGCCTTTTGTGATATATATAGATGACTATTATGGTTTTATCAAAAAGCATTTTCTTCAAATGAGTAATTTTTAAAAAGACACATCTTGACATAATATTTCTTAATTTTATTTATTTTACTGTACCAATATTTTTATAAGCATGCATGAGAATCTCATGTATCCATTTTCACTTTCATGATAGCAGTAAAAGTAAGAATACATTCCAAGTTAGAGCACTATTTTCTGGAGATATTTCAGGAATACATTAGTTTCCCAAAGTGAGGTACCTCTGATTCTGAAAAAGCACTACCTTATAGAAAAGTCTAAATAATATAAACTAGTGGTTTTCAAATTGTGGTCTTTGCCAGAATCACCTGGGAACTTGTTAGAAATGCAAATTCTTGTGTCAAACTCAAAATCTATTGAATCAGAAAGTCTGTGGGTGAGGCTGTGGATCTATCCATGGTTTAACAAGCCCTCCAGGTGATTTTGATGTTCTTTAAAGCTTGAAATATGAGCAAACCAAAACATTTCTGGGCACTTACCCTTAGTTGTATAGACTGTGAATTTAATAGATGCTACTATTTCATTATTATCCAAAGTATCACACTCAAAAGCCACGGGGTGAATTTCCCTGTGTACTTCCAGGACTGCTGTATCGTTTGTAAGTACAATGGCTTGCTATTTTAAAAGGAAAAAAAAGTATCAACATTCTTCATGTAAACTTAAGATCATGAAACAATTTTACTTTCTGTAACAAAAAAAGAGTCATTGTCTCTCAGTCTAGGATAGTCATTAATTATGCACATGGCTATCTAGAGTCAGACAATCTAGATATCAAGTATCAATTCTACCACCTCCTGTCAGTGTGACCCAGAACAAGTCATTCTCTGCATTTCAGTTACTTATCTATAAAATGGGTATAATGATAGGAATTACTTTATAGGATTGTTATATGGGTTAAAAGAAACACTAATACTCAGTGCAGGTCTGGCACCTAATAAGCCCTCAATGTTAGCTACTGTTATCATTATATAACCCCTATGTATACAATTGAAAACCTTGCTTCCAAAATAGAATATTTTATGTAAAATGGATGTTTTTAAGTTCTAATAACTAAGCCTAAAACATATGTTAATATGTACATAATGAAAAAATTTAAATCCCAATAATAATAAAGTTGTATGATTTTAACTTCATTTTTGCAAACTGCTTTTAAAGAGTTTCCTGACAATCATCAAGCACTGGCAAACAAATTTTATCACTCACTAGAAAGCACCAAATTGCATACATTCAATACTCACTTGATCTGGCCTTAAAAGTTTCCAAATATACTTGAAACGATTTTCAGGAGATGTATGAACACATACCAGTTTAACATTTTCAAGACTTTCTGATATTGGTTTACCCCCTGAAAAAAAGAAATGTTAAATACATATATACTATTGAGCATTGTAAATTGCTTTATAAACAATGCTACTTTTAAAAGCCACCTCCAATTTTAAAATCAATTATATGCTGGAAGTTATCAAATGTATTATTGAGCGTCTGAGTGTAGAAGAGCAGAGTGATGGATACAAAGAAAAAATCACCAAAAGAAATAGGTAGGAGACACCACAGCTATCTGCTCCACCTACGGAATAAATTATGAAGAGGAATAGTAAAGGCAAACAATTTAATGATCTAATAAACTTTGAGATTTACTAGTGGCTTCCAATTTACTGGTTAGGGACCCTCCATTAGAGATAATGAAATCTCAAGGTAGTGTAATTTGATACAGAACATCTCTTAAAGTTCCCAATTTAGGAGGTAACAATATACTGATAAAATACCATGCTCAAAGTGTCTTTAGTAACCTAAGTATTTCTTGAACAGCTTTGACCACAGATCCTGAGTACAACAAAGTTACAGTATATCATAGAGAATATATGTTAAATTTTAGATATCATTGAAAAATATAAAGCAAAAGTAGGAAGCCATTCAGAGCTATAACTGTCTAGAGAAGTGGAATTTTAAGTTTTATTAAGATCTCCTTTTTAGTATATCAATTCCACTCATGACCTGACATTAAGGATTCCACACCTGAGATTAAGGATATTTCCCCAGAGTAAACTCTTCCACCCCTCGGTTTCCCTCCAATACAGAGTCCAACTCACAGCCACAGTCTACTGGTCCACGGCATTCTTCCACTCGTACAATACACTTAGATTCACCTCCAGGGCATCCATTTGTTAATATAACTTCTCTAATACCAACACCTTTGGTAAAAGAAATCCGCAAATGTTAAGAAAAACTAATTGCAGAGAATCTTTTCTTTTTCATCTAGGTCTTTTTTTTTTTTGAGACTTTTCTCCTAATTTTGGTAATTAAATTCCTAAATTCAGGGTAATAACATTTAGAATGTTGTCATTTTGAATTATTTTATAATTATTTTATAATTTATTACCAAAGCTAGTTACATGAAACACTAGTTCCTCTGGTTGTTATCATAAGAAAAAGAATTCCATAATTAGATACATTTGAAAATTATACAGTAAATAAAATTAAAGGAACCTCTTTACTACAGAATTTTTTTGGGACTTTTACTATGCTAATAAATTAACATGCTATAGTGTATAAGCTTTCATTGACCTAAGGTATAAAATTGTTACATTTAACATCTTTGAAATCAGAATGCATCTTAGAATTGACAGCATGTCAAAAATTGGCAGCATTTTTCCATTTTGGAGGTGCATAAAATGTGTTTCTTACAGCCAATAAAGTCTTAGATTTAATGGAATATAGAAGTACACAGGATCGCTCAAATTTATTTGATCATGCAACTTTTAGGAAGGGAAGAGGGGTTTGGAGCTTATGTAGGATATTCCAAAATCACATCTTAACATAAATGAAGCTTTTTAATATTTAAATTGGTAATAAATATAGCAAAGCAAACTATTAATGATCAAATCTCCATTTCCAACAAGATACTCTCTTTATGGGACCCTCCATTAGAGATAACGAAATCTCAAGGTAGAATTGACACAGTTTTATAACAATAAATCACACTTTTACTAATTCGCCTCAAATCTCCCGAGTTTGCCTTTCATCACCAGAACTGAGATGATAAAATGCTGCATCAGCAACATGCTGAACATGGTCTGTTATAAATGGTTGTGGTAAAAGGGGCCACACACTAAAGCTGATAAGCTCAGGGGAGGCTTGCATGGCAGGCCTTACAAACTCAGAGACCAAAAGTAACCACATAAGATGGTCTGAACATAAAAATTCCTTACTAAAAGTGGATCACAGGGGGTAGTCACCTCCTAGTTCTGTAGTTTCCTTGACAAAGGTCAATCTTTACCTTGAGTGAGAGTGTCTATTGTGTTTCTGTATCTAATATAACAGACCTTTCAAATGTCAGAGTAATCTTATTCAGATCTCTCAGGGCACAACTATGAGCAGGAGAGCATGAGACCACAGAACCCCTCATGGTTCTCTTGTTCCCTGTGTACCATCTCTATGTGCTGTAAATGTTATTAACTATTCTGTACCCGTCAATGTAAAAGATGTGTTTCTCTATTTTGCCTTTTTATTAATCTCAGAGATCTCTACTCTTTGCTTTCTCCCGCGCCCTTAATCTACAACCAATGGATTTCATGTAACCCTCCTTACATCTCTTCCTTTTATTCTAATGTATAAAATAAGCTGCAAAACTGCCATTCTCTGGAACATTTTCTCAATCTGCTGAGATTTTGCTTCCCAGCACTTGTCGTCAGTTGGGCTCAAATAATCTCATAAAAATTCTCTACAGATTTGGACATTTTTTACGTCGATACAAGCTATGATGACTGTATAGTCGCAGACTAAGGAACAGTCTATCTTGATTTCCTTTGTCTACCAGATTCCTTTTTTCAACTCTTACAAGATCTTAATCATAAAACTCACTGTCAAGGGCAAGTTGAAATCTAGAGATGGCTTACAACAGCGCTTCTCAAAATTCAGAGTGCATGCAAATCACCTGGAGATGTTACTAACATAAAATTCTGATTCGGTAGGTCTGGAGTAGGTCTGGAGTAGGTCCTGAGATTCTGCATCTCTGACAAGCTCCCAAGCAATGCTGATATGGCTAATCTCTGAACCAAAATTTGAGTGGCAGGGGAGAAGATACCATATGAGACAAGATGGAAGGTTGGAAGATGAAAGGTCTCTTCTGATTAAAAGAGATGCCTAAAAAAAGGCTACAGTTTGGCTCCACTTGGATTTATGAAAGGTACTTCTCTAGAGGCATGGCGTTATTTTGAAATGCATCAATGTTTTTCAAGCAGGTATTTTATGTATTTATTAATTTAGCCAAATACAGTTAATTGTGATGGTGTGTGTAGGTATGCGACTTTCTGGAAGTCCAAGTAACACTTAAAAATCTGCCTGTGTATTCTAGAAAAAGAAAACTTTTTGACTGCTAAAATATTGTTTTGGGATTTGAGAATTTTCAATAAAGTATTTTTTTTTCCTCTAAATAATTGTTATAAATGAAAAGATTTTTCAATACATAAAAAATAATTTTTAAATGTGAAATATACCCTTTCCTGGTTTGTTTTTCTCTTTAGAACTTATCACCATTTGACCAGTTACGTATTTTACATATTTTTTATCTCTTTGACCCAACTAAAATATATATTGCTTAAAGGCAGACTTTCCTCTGCTTTGTTCACTGCTGTATTTCCAGCATCTATAACAATACCTGGCATACAATAGATAATTTAAAAAAAAAAAAAATCTCAAAACAGAAAATCATTTGTTGAATGAACAAATATAACATCTATTTTCTGAAATACATCTTTAAATAATAGACTAAGACAATATCAATTACTAGAATTGTCATAAAAATAATTCTCTTATAAAAATTTCTCAAATAGCAGAAGAAAGGTATAAATTACAAATAAATAATCATAGGTTTATTACCTGGATTCTTCTCATTCTCTGACTTTCACTCATTAAGAAGCTAAGGTAAAAAACAGGTTTAAAACTATCTCAAAAGACAGAAAATAGAATAATGATTGCCAGGGGTTGGGGGGAGGGAGAAGTCTTAATGAGTGTGGAGGTTTCAGTATGGGATGATGAAAAAGTTCTGGGGATGATGAAAAAGTTCTGGAGATGATAGATGGTGGTAATGGGTGTAAATTAATGTGAACGTGCTTAATGTCACTGAATTGTATATTTTAAAATGCTTAAAATATGATAGGTAGATTTTAACAAACATACGCATACACACCAAACACTATCTCAAATAAAAACAATTCAGATGTAATTTTTGACAAAAAAGAAATTGTTCTGATCTAGATCTGCATGAATTTCCTGTCTTCTTACCCTCTGGTTTTGGTCTTTCCCTCTCATTATTGTCTTCTTTCCCAAGGCAAAGTCTATTTAGAATAAACTTAATTTCATTGTGAAATATCTATTATTTTCTCAGCATGCTAGTCTATACTGGTTCTCAAAGTGGTTTTCAAAAGATGGTCTTCTAACCAGGAGCATCAACTTCATTTGTGAACTTGTTTAGAAATATAAATTCTTAGGCCCCTCTGAAGGCTTAGTGAATTAGAAACTCTGGGGTAGGCCTAGACATCTGTGTTTTAACAAACTCTTCAGGCACTTAGGGTGAACAGTTGAGTCTGAGAAACACTGGTCTACCACATACGTTGACTTAATCCCAACCCCATGTAAGAGATTGAGATTCTATGTCCAATTTCTAGTCATGAAATGGTCAAAATAAGTCATGGTCCTTGAATATTGCCTTCCCCACAAAGCTAATACCTCTTTTCTCCAAGATATGACATATAAATTGGATAATTATGGAATTTAGAATAGACTATTACAAATAAGCAAATTTCTTGATAGATTTGCCAACACAGTATGTGGAAAGACATCTGTGAGATGCATCGAAAACTCTTTCATCTTCTGAACATATGTGAGATAAAGTTTTCCTCTGGTGAAGGCAGTTTATGCCAAAAAATATAGGGAGCTAGCTTAAAATAAGACTTAGAGGTTATAAACTGATATATCCAAACTTTTAAAGCAATTAGTTTCCATTTTGTGTGTAAATTATAGTCATTAGAAATAGAAATCAATAAGAGATGAATGAGAGTACACAAATTACAAATAAAAATTGCCACACTGTTTTTACCTTTCCGTCCCCCAAAATTACAATATTACTTATGCGCTCTATGCTACTTACCACATGTGACAGTGCACATCCCAAATTCTACTTCTTTGACTATCGTCGAATTTGAAACTAAACATAAAGTGCAAAGACACATTATTTAATCACATGAAAACTTTTCTAAGTATAAAACTCTTACTTGGGTATGGAGGATACAAGTAGTTATACAGGAAGCAGAAAAATTTTAAGTTTTATTAAATCAGAAAAGCGATACTACTCAGTACATCTTCTATTATTATTTAAATTAAAAGCCGAAACCTTAAAGTAATAAATTATGAAATAACTTTCAAAGAAGGTTTATATTTAAACCTTGTATATAACTTAAAAATAATTTTCTCATTAGTTTAATACATAATGAGTTAAAGTTCTATAGAAGGTCAGGAAAACCCCAAACAGCCAGCCAATTGTAAGGCCCAATTGTTTCTATTCCTTATTTAAAAAAAAAAAAAAGGCTTATTATTGCCATCCAAAACAGAAGTTTTTATACCAAGTATACAGTAATCATGTTATAGATCGGTTCTATTCATTCTCAGGTTAAGATAGTAAATTATTTCTAAGGATTTATTTCAAAACAGCAGAAAAATCTAGGAATATACAAGTATTTGGTTTTAAATCACATGATAAGGTGTTTCTCTCTAATGTTTTTTTGAAATTTGTGTAATTTCCACTAGCTGTAATATATAACCAATTCTTCATATCTCAGATTAGGAATAAAATCTCAACAGAAAAAAGTATTGAGCTGTTGGAAGAGAATTTTAAAAAGGCATTGTATTCTGAGGCAACAGTATTACGTGGGAAAGTGCACTAGAGTTGGAGTCCAAGTTGCTGCTTCTACCACTAATTAGCTGTTTTGAGTCTGAGTAAATTAAATTCTGTCAGGCCTAATTAACCTTTCTGTAAAATCCGAAAAGGAGAACCTATCTCATTTGATTACTGTGAGGATGAGAGAGAGTATATGAAAGCATTCTGTAACTTTAGAACTATACACATGCTTAAGATATAACCTCATTCACACTCATTTTGTACTTACTGATTTCATATGATTATTGTAAAACATATTATCATAAATACTTCTATATTTATATGCATCAAATACAGTGCCTTGAGTATATAGTAAGCACTAGATGAATATATGTTAAGTAAATCAACACTGACTTTGTTAAATTATTTCGACTATCATCATGATGATCAATTCTGAATTGACATTTTTGCTTGAAATGCTTGGATACTTCCTGCTGGCACAGTATAAAATGTAAATTAAAAGCCAAATTTTGAATACAGAAAACAAAGGTAAGAGAATGAGTACCAGACTACTTTTAAATATAACTTTTTCAAAAACTGTTAAAAACAAAATTACTTAATCAGCTCTACTATTCACTACCTATGCTACTTTGGGAAAGTTATTTAAGTTCTCTTAACTTAAAAAAAAAAAGAGAAATTTAATCAGATTGTCTCCAAAGTTCCTTTTGTCTTTGAGTATTGAATGCCCATAGGTCATTCAATGACTTTTTTGACGGGGATCCTATAATGGTGACACAGGGAAATTATATGTATCTGCACTTCAGAATAGTATGTCAAAATTTCCCATTATATACCTGTCAGTGAAAAGACAACATATGGTCTGAATGTCAATAAAGTTTTATGTGTTAACTTGCTAAACAGTAAGATCCACTGACGCTATTTAACTTGTTAGTGTCAATGTGGTAGAAGTGATGTAACACAGGATTCTGTCCTGATCGACAATTTTATTAATGATTTGGAAAATTATGATTTCATACTGACTGAATGTGCAGATTCTTCAAAACTAGGAAGGATAGCAAATATAATGGAAGATATATCTGGATCTAAAAATAACAGGGTGGAAAAATGGGCAAATTTAATAAAATGAAACCTTAGAGAAATAAAGTCCTGTACATAGAGCTAAAAATCCAGCTATCCCCCAAATACCTTAAAAGACTGTCTTAATTTGATAGAAGAACAGGTAATAATGAGTGGAGAGTTCAATAGTGAGTTTGATAGGAGTCAAGAGTATGATGAGGCTTCCCTAAAAATCTACTGAGTCTTAGACTGTGCTGATAAAAGCTTGACATCCACAATGATGCAGATAATGATCCTGCTTTTTTTTTTTCTGACCAGATCCTGGAATGTTCTCTTCAATTCTGGACAGCACATTTTAACTGTTGGTACATACCATCACAGGCCAATTTTAATTTTTTAGTTTCTTTTTTGAAAGTTGATTTGTAAGGTTGATATTTCATGATTTTTATTCTTTCTTAGAGGTCTTCCAAAGAAAAAGAGAAAATACAGTTATATTCATATAGAATAAAACTCATAGAATAAAACTCATTCTGTCTTACAATTATTATGTAGATCTATTGTTGGTCCTTTTTATAAATCTAACAGTAAATAGGATAAAAATAAATTTATAAATCTTAGCTTTATAAAAGGCATACGGTATATAAAAGGTATAAAAGGCATAGGGGTATAAAAGGTTTAAGAGTATATATTTAACAATATCTTGGTGATTTTTCCTACATTTTGAAACATTTTGTTATTTCATCATCCATAATAATGGATTTTAGTATTACTTATCAATTATTCCCAACTACATTTTTTAAAAAAAACTATAATAATAAAATGGAAGAATGGTTGGAGTTGCCTAGAAAGATGATATAATTGTGAAATAAATCATAGCTATTACTTCATCCTTTGTTTTCTTATTGTTTTGTCCAAAGTATCACATCATCTTTCAGAAAGATACAAAAGAAGTCTAGAGGCACCTTTCTCAAGTCTCTTTTCAGCTTTCACTGAACATAGTTGAGATTTCAGAATTTTAATTTTTTTGTCTATAATGGCAAGGAGAAGAAAATTAACAGAGAAAAATATTTCACAATTATTGGATGAATCAGAATATGAATATATAGATAGCAGCACTCTAGATATTAATGATAATTAAGAAATTGACTGCATAAGCAAGATGAGTGAGCGATAATATCTTGCATGAATATCCTAGACCAATTTTCTCTAATTCAAGAATCAATGCATGAACACCATACTTCTGAGGATGAAAAGGACACATGGTATCCTCGTCTAGTTAATTTTTCACAAGGAAGGATGTGATCCTGAACTATTTTCTGAAAATAAGCCAGACCATACCGTTTTGCTAAAAGTATATGAATAGTATTCTTTCCTTTTAAAAACTGTTTATACACCAATATTTACTTAATAAGATTTGTAAACAGACAAATCATGATGACAGGTATGTATACTGAAAGAAAATAGAAGATGTAGAGATGAATAAATTCAGTGAGCCAATAATTCTAATTGTTTATGAATCTACGATGAAAACATTTTTGCAATTATGAAGAAAATGGCAGTATCCTCAAACAAAATATGTGCCTTCATAGTTTTCAAAAGTATTGTTTTGACAGTGCAACTGCAAAAAGAACAAGAGTAACGATAACTAGAATCTTCTAGAGATGTACGTGAAATCTGCAATCAGTATTTACAAGATGGATATATTACAGATTTGTGCATAACTGATGAGCTTTTAGTTAATTCAAAAGTACTTTGCCCACATAGCTTAAAAACCAGGAAAAATAGAATAAAAATTTGGGGTTTTCCATGTGTAAATTCTTATTAAAATTTCAAATAAGTTGTTTTCACTATCCCTTAATTCTTATTTTGTAAATTATTTATAAACTTTCTTAAAAGTAAAGAAATAAAGAGTCTATTAGACAGTAAATGGTGATGACTATTTTTATACTGTTCCACTGAAGGTTAAGAGGGGCTTTGCCAAATTTTAATAATGGCTCTGGAAATTTTCAGATCACAGACATCTGAGATTGTTTAAATTCTGGATTCTTGCTCTCCCCAATAAAAAGCAGCTATGCATGAAATTGTATATATATAAAATTCCAGGAGGTATAGGGACTTTCTGAAGTTCACAGACAAGAAAACAGAGAACTAAGAGAATAACTTTCCTACATTTGAATTTGAATCTAGGGCATTATAATTCCATTGTCTGCATTTAGCTTAAACTCTAGTTAGCATTTTATAGCTAGGACTATCCCTTGACCAGTTTAATATTAAAATTGCTAATTCAATTACTTTTAAAACGACTGAAGCAATAGCTCACTGTACTTTATTTAGGACACTGTACTTTATTTCTTCTCCAATCCTTTCTCATATTTCCAAAGTCAAGGACCTCTCCAAACTCTCTGTAATCAAATCAGTACGAACCCAACTGCAACATTAATTTCAAATAGTCAATTTCTTTCTGTCACTGAGGGTCACTATCTGTAATCAGGAAATAAAAGAAAGGCTGATAAATATAGCATCTACTCTGTATGTATAGGAGACATGAGACTGTCAAGGATATTAAAAGAATCTCAGCCAGGTCATTTATGGGGGAAGGAAATCATTTCCCTTTGGATGGCTGCGAAACTGCAACTGACCTTTTACCTACCAGCATGTGAGTTACTAATCAATATAACATGTACCACAGCTTGTCAAGTTTTATTGCTTAATGAGCCAGCAGAGTAAGGCAAATTTATGTACCAAGCACAGCCTCATTTTCCCTTGGTTAAACATATCATTTAACAAAGCCACTAGTTGGATCCCTCGATAGGTGTTTCTAAGGCCACCATTTCTTTCAGGTTGGAAGTTGAACGGACAATTAAAATACCACCACACTGCAGAGGTGCTCAAGGTTGGGGCTTCAAGAAACTGACATGGGGCTTCTGGGCAGTTTTGTCAGCATATTGGTTTATCTAAATGTGTCACAGCGCGGGGAATTCTGAATGCCATTGTGTTCCAACCCAAAGTGCAAATGTGGAAAGGATGAAGACCTCAAGCAACTTGGAACTTAAAGCAAAACAAAACAAAAAAACCTCTACATATGGGAAGGAAAAACATAATTGCAATGGGAGTCAAAACAATTCCCCTTTATGGAAGACTACTTTCTGACTCCTACCACTTAAAAAAATTTTTTTAAAGCATCTTTTTCCTTTACCAGAGCAACATTTTGCAGGAATTCCGTAGCAACTTCTATAAGTGGACTTGTTATAAGTGGGCTTGTTTAGCTTGCTGGGGCCTTGAAAAATTGACACATCTTTCTTCAAGGCATTAAGTGCGCGAAAATAATGTATAAATTAGGGGCTGTTTGAGAGAGAGCTCTACAGATGTTAACAGGGATCATTCTCATTGTCCTGGAACAAAGAGCTGGGCTTTACCCTCACAAGGCGCCTTCGTCCCTAACAAGGAGCCTCCCAACCTCACCATCCTCCTCAGTCAAGGCCTGCGGCAGCATCTCGCTGTCAAGCTCGTGGCCTTCGTCGTCGGCCTCCACGCTCTCGCTCTCGCTTTCATTCTCACTGTCGGCCTCGCTCTCTTCTTCCGCGTGGCCCAGGCTGGGATCCTGGATGGCGGTGACGTTCTTCCCGCATGCGGACTGCAGGCCTGCCAGGAGCAACCAGCCGACCGTCAGCAACAGCCCAGCGGAGCAGCCCGCGCCCCCGGGGCTCATGGTTCTCGGCCCCGACGGCCGCCCAAGGCGCAGTCGCAGCCGCCTGCTCTCGCCGAGAGGTGCGTCGAAGAAAGGAGCCGCGGTTCTCCGAACCTCGGTGCCGCACCCCGGCAACCACTGACGCGTCACAGCTCGTCACCGGCGCGGCGGGCCGCCTCGGCTCTCGGCGCCTGTGGA